GCGTGATGAGATTTGGAAAAAGGGGCAAGCTAAGCCCTAGGTTCATTGGGCCTTTTGAGATACTTGATCGAGTGGTAGAGGTGGCTTATAGACTTGCATTGCCACCGCGTTTATCAGCAGTGCATCCAGTATTTCATGTGTCCATGCTTTGGAAGTATCACGGCGATCCATCCCACGTGTTAGATTTCAGTGCTGTCCAGTTGGACAAGGACTTGACCTATGAGGAGGAGCTGGTAGCTATTTAAGACTGGCAGGTTCATCAGTTGATATCAAAGAGTTATATGTCGGTTCGTGTTCAGTGGAGAGGTCAGTCTGTTAAGGTAGCTACCTGGGAGTCCGATTCCGATATGCGAAGCCGATACCCCCATCTTTTCACCGACTGAGGTACTTTTTGTTGAGGCAGCCTGTTGTGCATTTGCTCGTTTCATTTTGTATCGTATGGATCATGCCAAAAAGGAAAGAAGGGATAGCCTTAACATACCTGAGTTGATTCTCTTAAAAATCCTTCTAACATACGGATATCCCAGATATCCTGTCAATCTACAAGAACCATAAAATTAAATTATGTAATTAGCAGTGATAACATGGACTGTATATACATTAGAGGTGGACAAAATAAACTTATTACTTTAATAACCCGCCCAACCCACCCAAATTTAAACCAGATGGGTTATGAAATGTTTGTTGACTTGACCAAACTGCTAAAACCGAAATGATCCATCAAAGTATTGAAACAAAACGGGTTAAAATAGGGATTTTAACACAAAAAAGCCAATATAAATAGATTATACATCAATTATACACAGTTATACTCATAAAATACATAAATTATACATATATTATACATCTGCCGATTATTTTTAATTTAAGTGATTTTGTAGGCAGCCATTTAGAAATTAATTCTTTTTAAAATATTGCAAACATGGGGTCAAAATGCAAACCCATTACCATCTTAACCCAATCAACCTTGACCTCCGGCCTTTTTATTAATTTGATCCATTTTTAAGCCCCTAAATTTGATTCAAACTTGTTCTTTTGCCACCTCTATTATATAAACACGCGCCTTTGTGGGACAAATATTGACATATTTAAAAACTGAACTTAACGACTCTAAATTCTGAATATGCAATTCTTAAGGCATAGGTTTTGATTAAGTACCTCTTCTCTTAGGCGAGCATTTTCAATCCTCAAGTGCTGCTCATCAAATGACATCTCGCCAATGGTAGCCGGCCCTCCACAATTTGGACATGTAGCAGTGGTAAGTGCTTCTTTATACCGTATATTTTCGGCACGAAGTTTCTCATTCTCATTCCTCAATTGTGTGTTCTCATGGCGTTCCTGATGAGCCTGGGCAAAATGAAGAAAACAATGTAGTTGTAACAGTTATTACATTGAATGCTGGCATTTAATGACATTTTAAATTTTACGTTTGGAAAATTGATGCACAAATAGAAAAGACTAGCTAATTACCTTCATTTGAGTACGTTTGTTTTGGAACCAAAACTTAATTTGCAAAGGCTCTAACCCTAATCTTTTCCCCAACTCTTTCCTTTGTTTATCATCTGGATGAGGACATTCTTTGAAAAACCTGTCAAATGACCAATTAATTAATTGCAATAACAACAACAACGACAACAACCAACCCAGTATAATCTCACAAGTGAGATCTAGGGAGGGTAAATAGTACGCAAATCTTACCCCTACAGTGAATGTAGAGAGGTTGCTTCCAGTAAACCCTCGGCACGTGAAAAAATGAAAATTTTATTTTTTGCGAAATTATGTCAATATAAGAATTGCTTACGCTTCCAATTCTTGAATTTGATGCTGTGTATGCCGATGATATTGTTTCTTCTTAGGACGTTTATTAGGATCTTGATCGTCTCCTGAAGGGGCTAACTCCGTGGTATCAGCGCCTGATTTGCTCTCGAATTCATCATCTCGAATCAAGTCCATCTCGTTTTCTGATGTTTTATGGCTCAAATCTAGCAAAAAATTGTGGCTATCGAACATGTTTTGCTGAAACATCTTGATGAACTTTTCCTTCTTTGCAAAGCTAACTAAGGATTTTTAATCTGCGCCAGAACACAAAAGAAAAATAAATAATCCATCTCTATGAACACACCAAAAATAGTACCCTAATAGATCTTAAGAAGTACAAAAATACAAGAAATGAAAACTAGAATATTGACATATACGAGTAATAACTAGCTTAAAACCTTTCAATTAAAAATGTGAAGTGCACCTTTGTTTCCAATAATTTAACTTGAATGATGATCTCTATTACCTATAATAGCTCAAGATCATAACAGATCCCAAGAATAGGAAGAAAAATGATAACAAAAGGGAACAGATAAACATGCAAGAATATAGAGAGTCAGTCAAGCCGCGGCTAAAACCACTTTTTTTATTGGATTTTAGGATAGTGAAAATTGAACTCACACCTATCGATTCTCACCGATACTATGAGACTGTAACAGTTGGTGTTAAAACGACTTACTTTTCTCGAATTGAGATTTTCAAGAAACCCAAAACAACCTACACATCTTGAATTTCTCCACCAAGATATGCTATAAGCCCTTCAATATCCATAGAACAATTTCTATCTCCTTTCTATATATGTATAAAATAGCTGTGTAGTAGGAGGTTTTTTTTTGCTTTTTGGTTTTGACTTGTTTAGAAGGTTAGGGCATAGAGTTTTGTATAGATAATAATATTCTCTGGTTTTATCCAAGGAAAAACTAATGGGAAAAACTAGAAGTAAAAAACAAGGAAGAAATGTCTCGGTTGTAGGAAGTCAAACAAAGATTTTGGGAAAAGACTGAAATGAGAAAAATTTAGCAAAAAAACAAAGAGAGGGTTGACATAGTGTGAACTCGAAAAACTGCTTATTCTTTTTCACTCTTTTTCTTATTCACATTTATGTACTCAATATAACGTCTACGAGTATCTCGGTACACTTCAACTTCACTGACATTTCTCTTTCTGCAAAAATATAACGGAAAAAAATAAAAATGGTAAGTCAAAAAAAAAAAAGAATAAGTGAAACTTACTACTATAACTACTATGAGTACTAATTTTTGAAGCCTTGTAACAAAAGCAAGAACATGTTTTCTAGTATTAGGGTTAGAGGAATAAAAGGTTATATATGGTTAAATCTGGTTTTAAAGCAAAGGGTATACCATTGGAGAGTGAAAAGGTAGATATGTTCATAGGTGCAAACACATTTCTTGTGACTAGAATTTAAGAAGAATACTTGGGACAAAGAAAGAAAAAGAAAGAAGATAGAATTAATAGAGAGAGAGAGAGAGAGAGAGGAGAGAGAGAGAGAGAGAGAGAGAGAGAGAG